TACTACTAGGAGCAAGGACGCTACTAGGGGCTCCTGGCCTTACTACTAGGAGCAAGAAAGCTACTAGGGAGGACGCTACTTGTGCGTCTCACGAAGGCCACCCTGAAGGCACTGGGTAGGTTCTTTGAGTGACTGGGGAGGATGAGCAACGAAACCTTTTTGGAGGAACAACGCTCTGAAGGCACAAAGAGTTGACTTTTGATTTCCACTCCTGAATGCGAGCTTTTAGTGGCACGGGTTCTAGTGTTCTAGTTCACTTCCCCACAGTCCCGTCCCAGAACTAGTTGGTCGATTGGAATGAAAGTCGGCTGGCTTTTCCTTCTGGCGCACAGTGGCCAGGATACTGTACATGTAAGTGTTCTTAGGCACAGGCATACAAACGCAGGCTGGGTGGAGGCCATCGCTAGCAGGTTGGAGACCATTGTTATTAGGTTGGAGGCCATCGCTATTAGAAACACATAAAAAAAGAAAAGGAAGAACGGATTCCAAGTGCTGTTCATGTGATTCCACCCATGTCCGTTTCTGTTGCACACCCATCAATTGCGTACAAACCGCGCGAAACATCAAGTTGCAACGAATGCATGGAGTTTCATGTCGTGATCCATGTCGCATTGTCAGAACAATCATGGCAACTCACTACTCACTGCACACACTACTTGGCAAATTCATCACCACTATCACTACTGTCGCATCGAGTTGGGACATTTTTAGGCACACTCACATACATGCACCTTAAGGAACTCCTCAAGTGCCCTTGGCACCACCTTCAACACTCCAAAACACAGACACAAGTTCATTTCTTTCTCTGCCTCTAGCCCCAGCTAGCACTTGCCCACCTGGATTCCCCAAACCTGGCTATGGCTCGAAAAAAGAGCGCCTAGTGCCTACCACCAAAGCCCCACTTCGGAGAAGGGAACCACGAGCACCGAACCTGCCGACGGGAGCCAAATCCATGCCATGACGTTTGATTTAGCTTGGGAGAGAAACCACCACTTGTGGCCCAAAACTCACATCCCAACCCCAATAGCTCAGGCGGTCCATTTGTGAGAGCCACCCCCGTCGTCGCGCGCCGAGGTCGCTCGCGCCGAGGTCGCTCGCCCGGGGCGGGCGACGTGCCTCGGCGAAGATCTGGACCTGCGCGAAGTTCAGCAGGAAGCTCGGCCGCTCGGAGAGGCCTCGGAGCGCTGCTCAAGGCGGGAGCAGCGACTCATTGACCAGGTGGAATGATCATGAATCATCATAACGATGGCCTCCAACCTAATAGAGATGGCCTCTAACCTAAGGACCTAAGAGCGGTGGCCTCCAACCTAAAGTGACCGGGTCTCCTGAGGGGATTACCTACTAGGAAAGAGGAGCTACTACTAGTGATGCCCTTTGCTACTAGTAGCTTCGTAGCGATGCCCTTGTTACTAGTAGCTTCTAGGTAGGATTTGTCCACTTGTGCGGCCCCAAAGAACGGCTCGGCCGCGATGAGCGTGGCACTTTTTCACCGCTTGCACAGTACCTCCTCAGCGAGGCCTCCGCGGGTGCCAGGCACCATGGTCATCAATGATCTCCTGCTCCACAGCGGCTGTGGAGTGGCTCCCAACGGCACTAGAGTTCAGAACGTGGAAATCTTAAAACCAACTGTTGGAGGCCTCAAACAAAGATATTGTTACTTTACTTCGAGTGATCACCACCGCGACATGTCAGTCTGACAAAATTTCTGGCATGTATTGAAACATTATTTTGGCATTCTTTGTTGCGTATCTTCTGACATTCAGTCTGGCACTCTATCTGACGTGCGTGCTGACAATTTTTCTGTCATATCTTCTGACAGTCATTCTGGCATATCTTCTGACATTCTTCCTGACATTCATTCTGGCATATCTTCGGCATATCTTCTGGCATTCTTTCTGGAGTTCTATCTGGCATATCTCTTGACTCGTGGTTGAGGTCCGGCCGGGAACACCGCCACGCGGCCCCCGCGGTTGATGTCCGGCGGGGTGGGGAACACTGCCAGCCGGAGCTCGCGGTTGAGGTCTGGCGAAGGAGGCGGAGGAGCAGGAGGAGGACGAGGACTGCAGCGGACATAAAATCTGACAACCCTCACCTGACAGGTGGGGAATGATTGGTTTTGAGAGTTTAATTTAACGAAAGAATGCCTTCTCTTGAGATTGAAGTTTACAGATGAACTTCCTCAATAATTCAGCATGGTGCCATGTTTTGAAGACGATCCTCTCTTGCACACTGATTGGTGGTATCAACCGGACGGCACTGTCACCAAAGGGTTACCGTAACTTGGTTTCAATAGCTGGTGGTCACCACCTCAAATTAAAACTTCTGGTGACAAGAAATCTTTAATGTGAGCTTTGAGTAGCCAACCATTTCAAACACGGGCTCTTCACTCGATTGGTTTTTGAAGCGCCAGAAGAAACAAGTCTCGTGCTGGGAAACCACTAGTGCCCATTCACTCGGTGGATGCTCCACAAAAACACCCGCTTGGAGGCCATCGCTAGTAGGTTGGAGGTTGCAAAAGTACTTTGGCTTTGTCTTAAACATGGGAGACGAATGGACCAAAGGATGGCTCCTTGGACGGCCAAGGGATGGCTAGCTTCCGAAGATCTTGGATTTGGCCGCTGCGAGCTTCGCTTTGACCTTGTCCTTTGTCGAGACCTGTGGCACGTTTGGACGTTGAAGAGATCTTGACAAGAACAGCTCCGACTCAGGCGCCCAGAATTGCGTGAATTCCCCGTTTGGAATCTTCAAAACCAAACAAGAAATTATCCACATTTCTCCCGTGGGGGGGGTCCTTCCAATCAAACAATATCACGTTCAGGGCTCAAGAAAAGGGTAGCCAAAGGTTCAGAAAGGGAAAAAGCAGTGTGGGTCCTATAGAGGTCCTTTCCAAGGGTCAAGTGGATTGTTTCACCACTGTTGACTCGGACACCTCAAACACAAATTAATTGGTGAAGATTCACAAGTTTAGTCTTTCTGACGTGGGATTGGGCGAGCGATCTCCAGAAAAGTCCTTGCTCCGCAGTAAGGCCAGGAGCCCCGTTCGTCATGCAGCGTCCGATCGCTCCGTTTGTAGTCTACCGGACCCATGCCCCCATGATGCCATGCATCGCTACTAGGAGCAAGGACGCTACTAGGAACAAGTGCCACGCTACTAGTAACAGGTGCCTTACTAGTAGTAACAAGTGCCTTACTAGTAGTAACAAGAAGCTATTAAATACTTTAATTTTAATTCTAATAGCTTTTTGTTACTACTAGTAAGGCACTTGTTACTACTAGCGTGGCACTTGTTACTAGTAGTAACAAGAAGCTACGAACGGGGCACCCTTGCTGCATCTCCGAACCACGGAGCCGCGAACGGAGAGACCGACCAAACCACGGACGGAGCACATGGGAAATCGATGTCCACGTGTCTGGTGACGGCCAAATGGTGCACAAAAACACGTGATATTTGTTTCCATCGCGGTATGCTTCAAAGCTGAAAAATAAGTAATCACTTCCCCTCAAGTCTCTTGGACGGGGATTTTAACATGATCCGACAGAGCTGCATCAGGACAGAGCTGCAGCTCTTTGGCTCGGAGAACCACGCATCTCTTTTTCGCCGGCACGCCTCGATCTTGTACGGTTTCAAGCTCCTGGGACAAGAAGCTATTAGGAACAAGTGCATCGCTAGTAGTAACAAGTGCC